GTGTTCATGCGTGCACATCTGCTCACAGACTCATGTTCATGTTTGTGCTGATGTTCAATGTTTTATGTTATGAGTGCTTAGTGTATATTTAGTTGATGTTTTTCTTAGTTCATATCTTAGATGTTATTACTGTTTTTCTTATACATTTTATTGTTGGATGTAACTGGGACCCTGTGTACATAATTTCGCTCCACCACATGTACCACATGAGGTGCGAATGACAATAAAGAAACTCTGACTCTCTCTCTGACTCAACTAGAACAGGCACCTGACGGCATTAGTTGTCGCCTCATGAGCCATATGAAACTTGATGTCATGAGTAATAGTTGCCAAAGCATCCAACATTTAGTCATAACAATGAGTGAAGGTCATTAGACAGAGAAAGACTTGTAGACGCATTGGACACTGTTACTAGAACAGTGTGGGTTTGAATGAGGCTTGGGGATCCTGTCAAAGCATGCCCAGCATGTAGGCTTTACAAATGTCGCATTAGCTCAATGTTGGAACTAAAGGATGCATGAGAACACCTGCACACATCATGAAGGTTCTGATCTGTAACACCAAGGTGACTGATGTCTTGTGTGCCAAGAATTGCACAATTCCAGGACATCAGACTCTTGACATCCAGACCAAAATTATTTGACCTGTGAATGTCCTGGAGTGGACAAGCCAGAGCACAGACTTGAATCTAATTGAACATCTCTGTAGATATCTGAAAATAGCTATGCACAGATGTCTCCCATCCAACCTAATGGAGCTTGAGAAGTACTGCAAAGAAGAATGGGACAAACTGCCTAAAGACAAGTGGATCAAGAAAAAGTACCAAGCAAAGGCGGTGAATACTTACATAACTGTGATTTCTTAGTTTTCTATTTTTAATAAATGTGCAAAAATTTCAAAAAATATTTTTTCACATTGTCATAATGGGGAATTGTGTGTAGAAGTTTGAGGACAGAAATTAATTTAATACAATTTGTAATAAGACCATAACATAACAAATTGTGGAAAAAGTGAAGTGTGACTACATTTTGATGCACTGTATGTGTGTGTGTATATATATATATATATATATATATATATACAGTGCCTTGCGAAAGTATTCGGCCCCCTTGAACTTTTCAACTTTTTGCCACATTTCAAGCTTAAAACATAAAGATATCAAATTTTAATTTTTTGTGAAGAATCAACAACA